AAGAGATCTAACAACTCGAAGGCAGCTGCTTGGCGAATGCATCTAGCACAGAATCGGAATCGTGACCCGCTGAGAAGATCCGTCCGTTATATATCTACCCGTGCGTTCTCGCAGTACTACCTATTATAAATATCCCGCATTGTAATCAAAACATATTCCACAAAGTATCTAGTATAAATCAAATACCCGCGTATTTTTTTTCTATATATACAGCGCAGCCGACAACCAATTACGCAGTCCATTGTTATGTATTCCAGGTCCGAACGGTAATGCTAATCACACAAGCGAGCACGCTATCGGCAATGCGCTAAATAATCAACGATACGCTATGTTTTGTGTGCTTTTTTTTTGCTTGGTTCATTACGATTTTAACCGTCCACTGAGGATTTTTACTCTTTATCCGATCTCGGAAACGTCATAGAAAATATGATTTAAACAACAATGTCAGCTAATAGTACGATTGAGGCATTGAGACGAAAATAGTTTTAATTTCCTCGTGGCCGAAATGATAAGACAGGTGTCCTACATGATATTGGCAAGCATTTTTTTTCCTATCTTAGCTGATAACCTTGAGACTTGAGGGGCTGTGTCAGCGTAACCTAACAAGTATGTGAGCTCACGGAGCTCAAACCTGACGACGTTGGTAACACTAACTCTAGAAAGAGCAGTGCTTCGCAGAATCTACTAACGGATCGAAAATGCAACCCACTGTGAAGATCCACTGAGTGGCAAGCGATGCTGCTACGTTCAATGTTCAAATCCAACCCCAGGGTGAACAAGATAATGGCCCACTTAATGTTAGGTGGAGATGAGAGTCCATAGACATCACAGCGTGAACACCGCCATCCACTTTGATATTTAACGTCTATGACTCAACTGACCTAGTAATGATGCATATTAAAAATTATTACCACTTTGAGTTTTTATTTAGGCCAAGACAACTTCAATCTATTCCGGTAACCGTTTTTAGCAGTCGCGCTGTGAATGCTACTGAATCATTGCCCATTCACAACCCCTCCGGTGAACACTATCTTGGATAAAAATCAGGAGAGGAGTTGAAAGAGTTTGTTGGGCAAGAGCATTCGTGCTAGCAAATCTCGTTAGCAACGCCTACATCTGTATATTCGCGTTTTAAGTCCTTAATAATCGGGCGTAGGTGTAAATGATGTTGCTATGACAGGATACTTGAAGACATTATTAATAAAGCAGGATATTCGAAAAGTGAACACAGCCGTCTATTTCTGGAAACTTGATTTAGCCCAAATTTAATGGTATTTAATATATTTGTACAGTAACATGGTCAGAGTATAACGCGTATAGATGATACGGGCCACTAAGTTTTTTCTATTTTACTTTTGAAGTGAAACTTCTTTAGAATCGTTGTGATTTCAAACTCGATGAAACGAAATGAAACGAAACGAAAAAATAAGTCCATAGAGACACAAACACATAAATGTATAGGATTCAGCCGGCGAGAGAATGAGATAGAATTATACGTGAAGAGAAAATATCAATTCGCAGAGGGCGCTACCTCATACTATAAAAGATGATTTACAATTATTTCTATTTAGTTTGTTATCAAGAGATATCGCTGCATGTAAATTCAACAATTTCTGAATCACGGTGACGAGATGTTCCCAATTGATAGACGCTCTCGTAGTTCTCTTGCTAAATCATACTTACCTGGCGTAGGGATACAGTAATCATAAAGGCGGTTCCCCCAGGGTGAGGCGGCTCCATTGCACTGCGGAGTGGTTGACTCTTGCGATTATTTTTATTTTTTTATAAGTTCCACTTCTGCCGTGTGTGACTTGCACACACACACACACTTTTTTTTTACTTACACAACCTTTACCTTTGGTAAAGTTTTGTAACCTGGAAGGGTTATGCTAGCTTTACTGAACATGTTGGCGAGTTCACGGGCTCAAGAGCAGTGCTTCGCTGAATCTAATACCGAATAGATTTGCGACCCACTGGGACAATCCGACGAGAAACTTAGTAGGCTGTCTTTTTTTTCGATCATTATCTCACTCCTTATGCTAAGGGGTAAAGTTTTCTATGAAATGCGAGAAAGACAATGCAGAAATTTTCCGCCTAGAGTCATTTAAATGGTAGAGTGTACTGTGAGCCCACATGGATAAGTACCACAATCCCGTTCATTTCTGTCGCAAAGCAGTCATGCAAAAGTATAAGGCACATTTTTTTTTTTTTTATTGCTTAGATGAGTGGACGAGCTCACAGCCCACCTGGTGTTAAGTGGTTACTGGAGCCCATAGACATCTACAACGTAAATGTGCCACCCACCTTGAGATATAAGTTCTAAGGTCTCAATTATAGTTACAACGGCTGCCCCACCCTTCAAACCGAAACGCATCACTGCTTCACGGCAGAAATAGGCAGGGTGGTGGTACCTACCCGTGCGGATTCACAAGAGGTCCTACCACCAGTATATCCTGACTACAGTTAAAGTGATCGATAAAGTATACTTTGTTATTCAGTTACCATGGCAGGTTTAAAAGGTTTCAAACCAATGTCTAGAACAAGGAAAAATAAGCTTGTAAAGTGAACTGTGTCTTTCAAAAAATGACATGACAAAGTGTGTGAATTCTAACAGATTTAATATAAAACGGATTTAATCTATTGTAGTCTGTGTGAAATAATCTTACATTAATTATAAATTATTATAAATTACGAAATTAACAACAACTAGTTATTAAATATTCATTTTGTACAAATACATTTTAAGTAAGAAGGAAAATAAATATTTGACGGCGTTAACGATATTTGTTTAGCACGTGCAATAGGAGTGACTCACACAAGCCAGGTGCGCCGGCCGTGTCGTTCGACTCGTAAACAACAGCTGCAACAGAAGTGACTCATAAGCCAGCTGCGCCGGCTAGTATAAAAAGGCGGAACGTGCCTTGCAATGAACATTCGTTGGACTGCGCTTGCCTGGTGCACTTACTATATCCTTGTTACGTTGTGTGATTCAGTGACTGTTGTACGTACTGGTTAAAGTTGGACAAGTGTTAAAGTGAATTGTTAAGATAACATATTGTTGATTAAATCAGGAATCAAAAAGTGACATCGTTTTACTTGGTGTTCAACAAGATAATGTCTACCCTCAAGCTTACATATTAATAAGAAAAACAACATTACCAAATACAAAAATATTTTTTTGCGCTTGAAGTCAAACGAGTACACAGCCTGCTGATAGCGAATGGCTACCGATGCTTCGACTAGTGTAAGCTGGCAAAAGATCTCTGGAGCATACTAAAGTACGTAACGCAGTAAAGTATGAATGGAATCAACTTGATGATGGTGATGCGGTAGTTAAAGCATGAGATTACATTGAGCATTTCTCCTGAACACACTACATGGAACAAACGACAAAACAAAATGAAACAAAAGACAAAAGACACAGAAAGCCAAATTCTCTCCGTAGAGCCAGAAACTCCAAACTATCCGTCAGAATGGGATTATCGTCAATCCGAGCTGGCCTCAGCTGTTTGTCAAGTAAAAGAAGAAGGTATTTGGGAGCCCCGGCCCAGACATGGAATCATTAGCTAGTCGGAATGTCGGCCCTGTGCTTCTTAAAGTAAAATCTTTACAGAGACGTGTTGTACTGTACGGGGTGGGTCCAGGAGTTCTTATAAAAAAAGGAAACTGTTTTAATTGAAATATATAAAATAGTACAAATTATATTTGCTACCACTACAAAAGCCGAATCTGTTCTGACACATTTTTAGTGATAAATCATCTTTATAAAGACGATTCATCCAGGAATGCCTTAGCTATTTTTATTTATATTGATTTGGTATTGAGGGGCATATGTACTAACAGAATAACAAGTGATAACGTTCGGATTGTCGATAATCCCGGTCTCACGGATCGTTTGGAACCTCTGGGTCTGCGGAGGGACTTCGGTTCCCTCTGTATTTTGTACCGTATGTTCCATGGGGAGTGCTCTGAGGAATTGTTCGAGATGATACCGGCATCTCGTTTTTACCATCGCACCGCCCGCCACCGGAGTAGAGTTCATCCATACTACCTGGAGCCACTGCGGTCATCCACAGTGCGTTTCCAGAGGTCTTTTTTGCCACGTACCATCCGGCTATGGAATGAGCTCCCCTCCACGGTGTTTCCCGAGCGCTATGACATGTCCTTCTTCAAACGAGGCTTGTGGAGAGTATTAAGCGGTAGGCAGCGGCTTGGCTCTGCCCCTGGCATTGCTGAAGTCCATGGGCGACGGTAACCACTCACCCACCATCAGGTGGGCCGTATGCTCGTTTACCTACAAGGGCAATAAAAATAAAATAAAAAAAAACTTCTTGTGAGTCCTCGCGGGTAGGTACCACCACCCTACCTATATCTCTGCCTTGAAGTAATAACGCGTTTCGGTTTGAAGGATGGAGCAGCCGTTGTAACTATACTTGAGACCTTAGAACTCATATCTCAAGGGGGGTGGCGCTTTTGCGTTGTAGATATCTATGGGCTCCAGTAACCACTTAACACCAGGTGGGCTGTAAACTCGTCCATCCATCTAAGC